TGCAAAGCCAGCTGTTCACTTCCACTATTTTCCCCTCTCTCCCTGGGCCACGCCGTTCAACTGGGAGGACAGATGAGATGACAATTTGTGCATTTAATTGCTTCAATTTCCTGCCCAGAGCCTCGTAGTCTCTTTTGATCTTCTGGAGGCTATTGCTTGCAGTGTCATTGGTTCCCACATGAACCAAGAGGAAGGGGTATTTGTCAGTGGGTTTTATGATTCCTTGCAGTCGTTCAGTTACATCTTGGATCTTAGCCCCGGGGAGACAGCACACTTCCCGAGACATCTTGTCAGGCCCACAGATCACTGCTTCTGTTCCCGTCAGTAGGGAATCCCCTATCACCACTACACGCCTCCTCTTAGGTTTGGTCAGGGTTCTTCCGTGAGCTGTCCGTTCCAAGGTCGCCTGCACATTCCCTGAGGACTGACTTTGCTGCTCGTCTTCATATACCTGATCGACTGTAATGAGGGAGAGATCCTCAAATGGAGTCTGCTCTTCGTCTTCCATGCTAGGGGAGAGGACCTCAAAGCGATTGTGTATTTCTAAACAATCAGAGCGAACCCTGGGCCTCCTACTTCTTTGAGTCACGTTTCTCCATATATCTGGCTCCTGTGTTGGTGAACTAGCCTCCTTCTCAGGGGAGTCCCCTGTCTCCTCCTTGGTGGAGACGGTGTGCTCTGTTGCTTCCAAGAAGAGCTCCAGCTCTCTAATTCTTTGGAGTGTAGCTACACGTTCCTCCAGTTGCTGGACTTTGTCTTCTAAGAGGGCAATCAACATGCAGTTGCTGCAGGTAAAGCTGCCTGCAACCTTTGGCAAGATGGCAAACATTGCGCAGGAACCGCAGGCGACTGCAGTTGTTCCCTCCCCCTCCATCTTGAGAACATGTCGTTGGGGGTGGCTACAGCGGTCCTCCATCATAAAAAGCGTGAAGACAGGACAAATAACTCCCCCCAAAAAAACCCTACATCTCCCCCAACAAACGTTTGAGACTAGCTCCCCTAAATCTAAAAGATGGATCCCTTTGCACAGGGAGAGCAGCTAATCAGCCACAAAGAAACACACACACAAGAAAACCCTTTTTTGCTCCTTCTTCAGCTGCTGCCCTGCAAGCTCTGATAAGCTCCTCCCACAGCTAATCACCTGCCTCAACAGAAACCCTGCCCCTCTGACCTTTGCACAGGGAGAGCAGCTAATCAGCCACAAAGAAACACACACACAAGAAAACCCTTTTTGCCCCTTCTTCAGCTGCTGCCCTGCAAGCTCTGATAAGCTCCTCCCACAGCTAATCACCTACCTCAACAGAAACCCTGCCCCCTCTGACCTTTGCACAGGGAGAGCAGCTGTGTTCGCTTCTGCATACACAGACTTGGGAATATGCCCCAGCGCTTCCTACAGCTTTAAAAATGTGCTTAGGATGGCAGGATTGATCGGAGAGAAGGCCCACGATTGATGCCTACCCAAATCAAAAGAGTTAAGAAGTGACAGAAAGAGGGAGGCTAAAACACTTACATTTTCCCACATTCCATTGATCAAAACAAATAAGGATATATGGGGCAACCCTGTGCACATTTACCCAGATGTAAGCACTATTGAAATCAGTGGAAGTTTCCGCCATGAAAACAACTGAGCTGAAAAAGTACATGGTTAAAAGACTGTTTAAGTAAAATAATGGAACAAATCTAACTACACCCTCAATAATTTTGCAATAAAGGTAAAGTAAAGGGACCCCTGACCATTAGGTCCAGTCGTGGCCGACTCTGGGGTTGCGGCGCTTATCTCGCTTTATTGGCCAAGGGAGCCGACGTACAGCTTCCGGGTCATGTGGCCAGCATGACTAAGCTGCTTCTGGCGAACCAGAGCAGCGCAACGCCGTTTACCTTCCCGCTGGAGCGGTACCTATTTTTCTACTTGCACTTTGACGTGCTTTCAAACTGCTAGGTTGGCAGGAGCAGGGACCGAGCAATGGGATCTCACCCCGTCGCAGGGATTCGAACCGCCGACCTTCTGATTAGCAAGTCCTAGTCTCTGTGGTTTAACCCACAGCGCCACCTGCGTCCCTCAAAGATAGATCACATTTCAAATAAACACTCTTTGCACTGGGCCACCCGGGCTCCCAGCCATCAGTGCAAACGGTGATTTAGACCACAGTGCCACCCGCATCCCTTAATTTTGCAATAGGGATAGATAAATCCATATCTGTCTGGTCTGTGTTACATTCATATGCTTTTACAAATAGTTCAATTCCATCCGGTTTCTGAATTAACTTGTAGGATTAAAAAAAATAAACAGATCACAATGCTTACTATTTAAATAAACATATCTGTCTATCTGTCTGTCTGAACTACATCTGCCAAGAACTGCACCAGGGCATTCAGACAAATGCAAAATCTTTTGGGTAACTAAATCCTGAGCTGCACATTAGTTCTAGAGCTGTGGATCAAATTGCTCAAGCGTCCCTGTTTCAAAGTTACAGCTTCCACCTGATCTTTCCAAAGTCAATAAAAAAATTGACCATAACATTTAGTGCAGAATTTAAGCCTGGATTTAAATTAATTTCCCATAATCTTTGTTCTTTTGCACTCACAGGTGTCCGGATTAACTGGAATGAGGTCATGCCCTCTGCTGATCATTGTTCAGCATGAATTGATTAACACTGATTAGCATGGGTAATATGATTAGCAGACTCAGCTGTCAGCTATCACCCCTTCAAATGGCTACAGATGTCCTCCAACTGAGATAGCTAATCAAGCTTCCACTGTACTTGAAAATGTTTCCGGGAGGGTTCAGGGCACCAGTGAGATGGTAATCCAAAATCTCTGTTTGCTCCCACGGTTCAGAATGTCTGTGGAAAATCTTATATAGAGCAGGGTTGCCATATGTCTGGGACGTCCCGGACATATTCAGAATACTGCAGTCGGCAGCAGTGTCTGGGTGAAAATCGTTAACAGGGAAAATCTGGACCTATGGCAGTCCATGTTGACAGTGCCTTTTGCTGATTTCCCATCAAAATAGCTCAAAAACAGCATTTCTTTCTTTTTTCCAGACATCTTTATTGAAAGTTCAAAAAGTACAAAATTATACGTACACTAAACATGGTGAGCTGTAAATAAGAGAGAAAAAGAGAACGAGAAACAGCACCTGTGTAGAAGGGAAAGTAAAGAAAAACTCAAAACTGTATAGTTTACAAAGTTGTTATTGTACTTCATCAGATCATAATCTAGTACAGTATTTGTAAGAATGGATTCCAAATATCACTGAATTTGTCCATGGCAAGTCTGTGTTTATATGCAAGTTGTTCATATGTTGCCAGTTTGTATAAGTCTTCAATCCAACCATAGAAGGGAGCCACATTTTTATTTTTCCAGTTCATCTGTATCAGTCTTTTTGTTGTGGTAAGGGCATGGAGAGTCCACTCAGATTGTCTTTTTGTAAGGTTCCATGTGCTGGGTATATAATTCAAGAGGATATTTTGCTCTGTAAATGTAAGGTTGTTCAGTATAGGACAATGGATTTTTATTTTTTATTTTTTTGCAATTTTGCCAGCTCTGGCCCCCCCAAAAAACCAACAACTTTTCTGTCTGGATTTTCCCTGTTTGAAATATGGCAACCCTAATCTAGAGAGACCTGCTAGTATATCTGAACTAATACAGAATTTATTGTGAGAAATGCTAGCATTTCTGGCGTCCTTGCAAATGGTCCTCTGTAAACTTCTGAAAATGTGGTAGCCCTTTCTCTCTGCCTCACAGAACAAGAATCAATTCCGGGGACCAAGAGATCTTAAACAGAAAACTCTCAGCACCCTGGATCAATGTAATTCAATCCCCAGAATTCTTTCAGGGAAAGCAATGCTTGGTGTCAAATCATTGCAGGTCTTTAGTGTAGCGATATGTGCACACAGCACTATATGATGAGGAATGTATAACTGGGGGGGGGGTCATACATGCGCTTCCCACAGAGAACATCATGGCTTCTCCTTGAGAGCCAGTGTGGTGTAGTGGTTAAGAGCGGCAGTATCGTAATCTGGGGAACTGGGTTCGCGTCTCCGCTCCTCCACATGCAGCTGCTGGGTGACCTTGAGTCTCTCAGCCTCACTCACCTCACAGAGTGTTTGTTGTGGGGGAGGAAGGGAAAGGAAATTGTTGGCCACTATGACACTCCTTTGGGTAGTGATAAAGCGGGATATCAAATCCAAACTCTTCTTCTTCTTCCTAGCTGAAATTTGCAGACCAATTTTGGGTCCTCTTGTAGCTAGGACAGGTGATGGCCAGGGATGTGACTAGGCGTTTTCTCACTGCAGCTTAAATTTGGGATGCACTTTAGCTTGGCCAGATCCTCACTGTTTCTCTTGAGAGGTGGATGCATATAGTATACTACGCCCACCCACCAGGTGAGGCAACATATTATTTTTTATTTAAAAAATAAAATTTATATCCTGCCCTCCCTCCAAAGGACCTCAGGGGGAACAATCAATCTAAATTCTGCCTCTGTAAAGCAGGCTAGTTTCTGTACACAGTTACACATCCCTCTCCATCCTGGGATGTAAGAGACCTTTTCAAGGAAACAAGCCAACTAGGAAAGAATACTGAGGGTGTGTGTGAAGAAGGGCAAGGAGGAGGTGAGGCTCCAAAGAGATGTTGCCTGGGTCAGATAGAGAAGCTTTGAGAATTGCATTCAGCCCCCAGGCCTAAGGGTCCGAATCACCCTGGCAGTAGAGCTTCCTTTCCCAATTCTTCCCTGCAGATATCTCTTGCCTTCCCAAACACTGCCATCCGATGCCAGAAAGGCCAACTATATAGATTATGGGTGATGGAAGCCTTGTAGTTAGCATGATGCACACCAAACCGAAAGCATTAATTGTGCTCCACGAGCTTCTCTATAAAAATCTTTGCAGAATTATTTCCATCGAGCTTTTATAGATTTCCTAGGGACGTTTTAAAGAGCTGTGTTCTAAATAGACATAAAATGGCGAAGATGAGAAGAAAGGCTACCGGGGCCTTCGTGATAAATGAAGGTGCTTTTAATGATTCTGAAAAGATGCCATGCGGATGGTGCTTCACTATCTGGAAGAAATCATAGTTAATAGTTAGTCTTTTCAGCTCTTGAACAGCCCATTTCAGTTCTCCATATTGCTTCAGGGTGTGGGGTAGGTTAGGGTCTGGGCCTGCTCTGGTCAGCACTTGCCCTTCCTCCCTAGGTAAAGGTAAAAGTAAATGACCCCTGGACGGTTAAGTCCAGTCAAAGGCAACTATGGGGTTGCGGCACTCATCTCATTTTCAGGTCGAGGGAGCAGGCGTTTGTCCACAGACAGCTTTCTGGGTCATGTGGCCACCATGACTAAACCACTACTGGTGCAATGGGACACCGTGATGCAAATCAGAGTGCATGGAAACACCCTTTACCTTTCTGCTGCAGCGGTACCTATTTATCTACTTGCACTGGTGTGCTTTCAAACTGCTAGGTTGGCAAGAGCTGGGACAGAGCAACGGGAGCTTACCCTGTCATGGGGATTCGAACCGCCAACCTTCTGATAAGCAAGCCCAAGAGGCTCAGTGGTTTAGACCACCGTGTCACCCGCATCTTCCCCAGACCTCAGACAGAAAGGAGTCGAGCTTTCTTCACCCATGTTCCTCCTCCTTTCTCCTTCCTCCTTTCTCCAGCCTATCTCCAAGTGACAGCACAGTAGTCTACAAACATTTTCTTACATTTATACCCCACTCACTCTTCCACCATGGATCTCAAGGCGACATATGTATGACTTCCATGGGGTCCACCATCCAGGCACTTACCGGACCCACTCCTGCTTAGCTTCACCTACTTGGCAGCCTTATGTTCCTCAAGACCACCAATAGTGAAGGATCCTCCTTGGCCACTAGCCCACTGTTCTTTTAAATAACCTTTGGCAACTCCAGGTGGGACCAGGCCCATCTCCCAACTCCCATCAAGCAGCTGGAGCCTCCACATCTCCATACTGAACTCAAGCTTACAATACACACAGTGGGATCAAGTGAAAATAGCTCACAATCGACCGCTTTTATGATGTAAGCCTCATGCAAGGTTGTGGCCAGCAAGGATGGAGTCAGTTACTGCCGATAGGTATGGCAGGGTAGACTTGCCCTGTTCACATCAGAAGAGGAGGCCACCAGCTGCTTCCATCAGTGCAGTTAGATTCACACCAGAACTCCTTTGTATGATGAAAGAAAGTCATGGCTCAAGTTGTCTTCTTTGTGTGAGCACAACTCTTCTTCCTGATACGTTAGCTTTCTACATGAAAAAAGGTACTTTTCGTGTGGTGGACCTGTAAAAGGGTAAAAGAGTATTGGGAAATAATCCATAATGAATTGAAAAACATGTTTAAAAGTATTTTTCAAAATAAAAACCCAGAGTCCTTTTTGTTGGGGATAATTCAGGCAGAAATTCCCAGGTGAGAAAAAAGGTTATTTATGTATGCCACTACTGTGGCCCGTGTTTCGTTAGCCCAAAAATGGAAAATGAGCGAGGTCCCAACCAAAGAAGAATGGCAACATGTTGCAGACGTAACATATAAAGTATGAGAACAAGAAGAACATACGTTTAGAGAAAATTGGAAAATGTTTATTGAATATATGCGGGGAAATTGTGTACACTTGAAAACTTGGCAGGATTAAGATAAATTCAACAGTGTAAATAAGTTTTGATGGATGTAATAATGGAAAACTGAATGGTTTAGTTTATGGACAATATGCAGGGATTTATGATATGCAAAATGTACCACGGAAAGAGAGGAAGGGAAGTCATTGATATTTTAAGGATGTTTAAATGAGTATTCTAAATTGTAAAACAGAAAATTTAATAAAAGTTATATATATATATAAAAGAGGTGCTTTTTGTTTGTAGGGGGGCACCCAAAGTGGTTCAGCTCAGGATAAACTTTAGCACCCCGTTTCCTGGCATGTCTTAACTGGGTTGGTGTTCTGGGTGGCCTCTTGACCAAAATGCTGCTGTGAAATTACCCACCCCCATTCTTCTCTGGCTGCATTCTTTGATGGCTGTAACTAAATAACTGGGGAACCACCCAGCTGAGTCCTACTCAGAGCAGACCCATTTAAAACAATTTGTAGGAATAGGACTCCTCTGAGTATGAATTCTGCTGGACAACACCCTTGGTTCCTTGCAGCACACTGAAACTTCTCTCTTGGCCCAGTCCATAACCTCTGGAAATCCCACAGTAGCAGCCAAGAAGCAGAGGAACAATAATAGTCCTTCCCAAGCCATTTATTCAGTATATTCACAGAGAGAGATGAAGGAATGCAGTCTCTCTTAGATAATGGCATTGCTCCGAGTAAAGTCCCACCCCCTCCATCTCTCCTATTCTACGTCATCCCTGTGTCGGCTAATCTGAGCTTTCTGTCTCTGAGCTTTCTGTTCCACTGCTCTCAATGCACGTCTTTTCCTGAGAGAAGGGGGGTCAGCAATGCTTTCCAAAGACACTGGGTCTCTCAGCTGTCTCTCCCCTGGTGTTTCGTCTTCCTGTTGTTCCTCTTCCAATATTTCCCAGCTTCTCCCCTCTGCAGCTTCTGAACTGTGACCTTCTGCAAACCACTGTTCTAAATCCATACTGCCCTCCTGTTCTCGGGAAGGTTCAGGAGAAGGGGGTGGGTCGTCCCCACCATTCCAGCCTCTGACACCAGGATGCCCATGTCTTACTTCATGTGCGACAGCGACAACACAAGAGCTTTTCCTGCCTGAAGCGGATCTTGTATAAAAGACAGACGCTGGTGTCATTGAAGAGGCTGTATGCTTTCCCCCACAATCTGTTGCCAACTCACACCCCCTCTCCACCTTCCCGGTGCATTTTAACAACGCCATAAAACTGAACGTGGAACCGCTACCCATCTAAAGCAACCTGCAAATGTCAAGCCAAAGCCGCGGTTGTTGGATGAGATGTATACATGAGATCCCAAGGTCTTTTTTGCATTATATTTTTCTTCCACCTCGGCTGATGAAATGTGATGTGTGACAGGTGGATTCATAACAGGAAGTGCCAACAGACACTTTGCAAGTGATCTTGAGTAGCACGGAATGAAAGCCAGCACCTTTTCTTTTATAGAGCCCGGTGGTGGTGGTGGTTCTGCTCACATGATAATTGCCAGTGGTATTTGTTTTCAGCGCGATACATTAATCTTAAGAGACATGACCTTTCAAGAGATAACACTTTTATTTCTGGTGACGAGATGCAGTGTACCGTTAAGGTTCTTCATGCAAGTATATGAAACAGAAATAACTGAATGAGAATGATGGTGTCAAACAACAATGATGGGGGTGGGGTCTAGAATATATGTCCTTTCCCCTGAAAACCAATAGCCATTTATTAGACAGGAGCAAGTGTCCTCTCTTGAAGGAGGAAGCAGTTTCCAAATATCTGTGCCCAGCGATGCCCTTGCAGTTAGTTTGATCAAGCCCTACAGATGTGCGTGCAGATGTGTAAGCGGAACTGCCATCAGGCATCTCTCTTATGCCAGCCTTGCACCAATCTCTGGCCAAAGGATGAAGCAACTGGATAAATGGACAGACTTGCAAAGATGCTCGCATGACATGGTCAGACCCTTTCTCCCCATCATGGTTATGCAAAAAAGGGGGTGGAGGAATTTCCTGTCACAATCTTCCTTCTGCCAAACTTTCCCCTGCCCCATGGTTCTTGGCCCTTTGTCTTGGCAAGTGTCATGGAGTTTACAAGGTTAACCAGACCCAGACGTTCCAAGTGTCCCTATTCTCCAGGGACAGTCCCAGATTTACAGAAGCCGTCCTGTTTCTGGCTTGAAAGCAAGATGAGTCCCAGTTTCTGATTTGATCCCTGAATGTCCTCCTTTTCCATAGGACGTCCCTCTTTTCATTTGAGAAATGTTGGAGGCTATGGAGTTATGCGACCCCTGAAGGCTGTGTTCCAGCATGCTTCTGCTGCTGCTCATTTCAGTGAGAGAAGGATACTGGCCATTGTGGGCTAATGTTGATGCTGCCAGCACCAAAGAGAGGGACTAGTCATTGTGACCTTGTGCTGATGCTCAAAGAGAAAGACTGGCCATTGTGACCCCATGCTGCCATGGTAATGCTGCTTGCCTGAAGGACCATGGCTGCTTGAAGGAGAGAGACTGGCCATTGTGACCTCATGCTGAAAAAAGGTAAAGGACCCCTGGATAGTTAAGTCTAGTCAAAGGCAACTTTGGGGTTGCAGTGCTCATCTCACTTTCGGGCTGAGGGAGCTAGTGTTTGTCCACAGACAGCTTTCTGGATCATGTGAACAGCATGAGTAAACCGCTTCTGGAACAACGGAGCACTGTGACAGGAGCCAAAGTGCACAGAAACACCATTTACCTTCTTGCCGCAGCAGTACCTATTTATCTACTTGCACTGGTGTGCTTTCAAACTGCTAGGTTGGCAGGAGCTGGGACAGAGCAATGGGAGCTCACCCTGTTGCATGGATTTGAACCGCTGACCTTCTGATTGGCAAGCCCAAGAGGCTCAGTGGTTTAGACCACAGTGCCACCCAAATCCCTTTGTTGGAGGGTATGCAGACATGGAATAAAAACAAGCAGCTCAGCCTTCAACCAAATTCTGCCTATTTTCCACTTGTGTAGATGAAAGTCAAAGAGACTGACTCTCCTGTCATAAGGCTCCTATTCAGTCAAACTAAGGAAGAACAACTGAGTGTGTTCCAGTCATGTTTCTCAGAGAAATAAAAGCTATTCAGAGCAGCACAAGGATTAGGCCCTTATCAGTTTGAGTCGTCCACATTTCCATTAGTAGCATGAATTGTTTTGGGATGCAGATTAATGCGAAAGATACAACAACAGCAGAGGCTTTTACAATCTGATTTTGGCTTTTCATGATGATAGAGCTTCACAGGTGCCGCAGCCGAGGCCCTAAAGACAAGTGTAATATGATTAGAAACAAATAAGATGCAGGGGCTGTTCAATCTCCATCACACAACCAGGCTGGGCAGCGAGACGCGAAAACTGATAGCTCGGAGGCTTCATCCGCACAAGACGGGCGATTATGAGGCAACAAAAAGCAGACCCAGAGAGCCTTCCTATGATTATAAAAAACTGATCAGTGGCATCGTAAACGCAAAAGTGACAAACCATTATTTCAAAGACGGTAATCACAGAGCCCAGCCACATGGTTATATTTATAGCAGAGTTGCCCAGAAAGAGCTTTCCGTCGAGCAGTAGGTCTTTGGCACTTTTAGCCTATTCTGGGAAAGGGGTAATAAAAGAGGGGAGCAAAAGAGGGAAACAAAGGGAATAAAAGAGCGAGACAGTGCACTCATAACTCAGGGTCTTTGTAGGAGACTCACAGCTTATTGCTGAAAATATGAAAGCCATGTGTTTATTTAATAATCATAAGAGCTGAAATTTCTCAAAAACGAACTGAAAATCTTAGCCACACACCCTCAAGAATATTTGACAGAATGGGATCTCCCAACTTCTATGCCCATATTCAAGAAGAGGAAGTTTCAAACACAAGGGTGATTCCAACTCAATATATTTTAATATTTCTGCAACTAGCGATGACCTTGTGCCCTATTCCTTCCAGTTCTCCTCTCTTAACTCAGAGCTTCCTACATCTGCCAGTATGAATTTATAGTTTCATGTGACATTGTGAGCCAAGATTTCACAGAAATGTTCTGAGAAATTCTCTGAAGATTTGCACTCCCTAAGAAGGCTATTTGATTAGGTAGTAGTAGCAGTAGTAGTAGTAATTTTATTATTTATACCCCACCCATTTAGTTGGATTGCCTGAGACACTCTCCACTGCCACCCACTCACAAATGGCCTGGAGAATTATGGGAGGCCATCTTCACTCAGTCATAAATAAAATACTGTTATACAGTTATATCTTCTTTGATTTAAAATAAATATTAGCTAAAGAAAATACCAGGTTCTTACAGCAAAGCAAGTTTTGCCCTCTCTTAATCGTGTTGCCAGTTACCACATTTTTATTTTGTCCCATCAAACTCAATGGGGCTCATCAACATCTGACTCTACTCTATTGCTAAAGCCTCAATCAAAATACCACAAAACCCCAAATTCAACAGGGGTTAAAATGGTTTGCAACCTGATATTATTATTTTTTTGAAAAGTTCTCATCCAGTGCTGAAAAAAGGTAATGAAGTGAAACTCCCTAGGGTAAACATTCCATAGCTGGGTTGTCAATAACATGACCCACTTCATTGTAGATAATAATAATAATAATAATAATAATAATAATAATAATAATTGCACCCTGCCCATCTGGCTGGGATGCCCCAGCCACACTATGTAGCTTCCAGCATATTAAAAACTTCCCTGAACAGACATCTTCAGACATCTTCTAAAGGTTGTATAGTTACTTATCTCCTTGACATCGGATAAGAAGGCGTTCCATAGGGCGGGCACCACTACCAAGAAGACCCTCTGCCCGGTTCCCTGTAGCTTCACTTCTTGCAGTGAGGGAACCACCAGAAGACCCTTGGAGGTGGACCTTAGTGTCTGGGCTGAGCGATGGGGGTGGAGATGCTCCTTCAGGTATACAGGGCCAAGATCATTTAGGTCTTTAAAGGTCAGCACCAACACTCTGAATTGATGGCAGAGGCACCCAGTTGATGACTACCGATGACTACTAAGGCAGCGATGAAATTGGTCCTCTACCTGTGAATTTAATGGTGAGTCTAGTGTCAGGACTGAGAAGCCAATCCCTTCATCCTTTTAACTTTGTTCAAGCTTTCAACCTATTCTTCCATAGAACTCAACAGGATTTATTGAGAGCTGAATCAGCCTCCACTGCCATAACTCTGACACAGTTTCTTCTTCTTTTTTTAAAAAAATATTTTATTAAGGATTTTCTTGTTTTACAGAAGTAAGTGTAATGCCTCGTATTTCCCCCCCCCCCATGTAACATTTTTACAAATCCGTTTCATTTGTTGAGGCATTGGGGGGAGAAGAAAAAAGAAAGAAAGAGAGGGAAGATGGATGGGGGTGGGGTCGGGTGGTGGTGTTTCTATTATGTTTATGTAGAGTTTGGTGTCAGCGTTGCTTGTGTTGTTCACTTGTGTTCCTTTGGTGGTGAGAGAGGTTGGGGTTGGCCTAGGGTGTGATTGTTTGCTTGTGATTGGCTGTGGTGATCTTTGTTTTCGTGTGTGAGTGAGGTGGGTGGGTGTTGATTGAATGTGATGGACACAGGGAATATGGGGTGAAATGTTGGGAAGTGGCATTTATAGAGGGAGAGAAAGAGATGGCACAGGAATTTTGAGAAAGGGAGTCTTTCTCAAATACGAGAGCCACCTTCAAATATCTTAAGGGCTGTCCAGTGGACGAGGGAACATACTTGTTTTCTCCTGCTCTGGAGGGTAGGACTCAAGGCAATTGCTTCAAGTTACAAGAAAGGAGATTCTAGCTAAACATTTTGGGGGGTGGGAACCTTTCGTTTTGTATAATTTTTATTACGTTTTTCTATTTTACATCCAACTCTAAGATTCTATTATTCTATGTTATGATAGCTAACAGAACCATCACTCCTTCTGTTCCCATTTACCTGGTGACTGTTTGAATCTTCCCTGACCCCCTTATTGGCACCTACAATCAGTGTTTTTTTCTGGGGGTACGCAGGGGTACGCATACCCTGAAAGATTTCGTGAATCTTTGTACTTTTGTCCATTTACTGTATTTATTTTCCCCAATCTGAACTATAAAATGGTAATTTTCTTGAGTCAAAATGAGAGTACCCCTAAACATTTTTTAAGAAAAAAAGCACTGCCTACAATGATGCATCAGCAGCATTCCTGGGCATGATGAGCTGTGGAGCTTGTTATTTCCAAGAGTTTATGATATCTTTAACCAAAAGAACAGAAGCCCCTTTTGAGTTTTAAATCCAAACTATTGTATTTTTCTGAACAAAGTAGAACTTTGAACAGCGTATAACTGGGGTGTGGGTGGTCGTGAGACCTTGGAAGTGATTCTTGGTATAAAAAGAGGGTTGTTACCAATATGTTCCATGAAACAGAAGTGGGTATGTCATTCAGCCTGATGTTACAAACAAAGCACCTTTTTTTCACCCCTCTCTGAGCTTGAAAACATATTACAATATGTTACATTTTCTTTCCTGTTGTTCTGCTTTATTTCTGGCACAAAGAGAAAGCAAAATCTCACCGAGTCACCAACAAACGTTCAAACTCACAAAGGTTCAAAAGACAAGGTTTGTCACTTTCTGGTCTCCCTTTATAGTCCTTCACTGATGTATGACAAGAACCCTGAAAACAGTCCGATGCCTGCGTTATTCAGCAAATATAGACTTTCTCTTCCTTGCTCTCCAGGAAGTGATGATCTTGCTGAGTCATTTTTGGCTGGATACCAGACAGGGAAGCAAAAGAAAGAAGGTGAAAAAGGGTGGGGCGGGGGAGCCAGGTAACAAGAGAGATAGCTGAATTGAAGAAAGAAGTATAAACATATGCTGTAATCAAGGAGTCTTGAGATCTGCCAATATTTCAAAACCCAAACATGGGAGATTTCATTATTTATATAGATTTTTTTTAAAAAATCCTTTCCTATTTCAAAGGCTCAAGGCAGCTGGCATAAAAAATGAAATGCTGTACATACAAATAAATAATACGAAGATTTTTCTTCTTCTTCTTCTTCTTTGGCAATCACCTGTAGCTGAGTAATATTGTCTTCCATAAACATGGTTTTAACAGTGGGTCCGTAAGTGACTATGGAGGCCAATTCTGGATCCACACTGTCAGGGAGAGGCAAACGGGAAAAGATGAAAGGACAGAAACCAGCAGTTATAGAGAACCTAAAGAGATTATCAGCAGCTTGTCGTCTGAAAGTGGGTCTGACGTAGAGGGGGAGGAGGATGAGCCTGGCACAAGTCAGTCGGTACACAGAGGAAGTAAGGGGAGGAGTTTTCGCAGACTTGCATGCTGGATGCGGAAAAGGAAGAAGAAAGATTAGAGGCAGCAACTGCGCACAAGGGGAAGGACGCTAATTGAAATGCTGGAGATGTACGTTTGAACTTTGTCAAATAAATCAAATTGTTTGGAACTGGCTAGGAGCCCGGGGTCTTATCTATGGCCAGCTGGACAGCATTAAGCCTCTGACACACATGTCCTTCTACAGTAGGGACATAGGTTTCTGGGCAGGCATTGATCATGGTGAGGGTTTGCCAAGCATGCCTTCCTCTTAGCACGTTTCTCCCTTTCGTCCTGACTTCGAGTGTCTTCAAAGTCCATGACGCCTTTGGTAAAGGCTGTTCTCCAATTGGAGCGCTTGCAGGCCAGTGTTTCCTGGTTGTTGTTGTTTATACTACTTTTAAAGATTTGCATTGAGATAGTCTTTAAACTTCTTTTGTTGACCAAACTTCTTTTGTTGGCATTACACTTTCCATTTTTAAGTTCAGAATAGAGTAGTTGCTTTGGAAGATGATAATCAGGCATCCGTGCAACATGACCAGCCCAACAAAGTTGATGTTGAAAAATCATTGCTTCGACACCGGTGATCTTTGCTTCTTCCAGCACACTGGCAAAAACAACCACAACCACAAATTGTGACAGAACAAGAACCAAAGTATGTTAAACTCCCTTCCATTCTCCACCTCTCAAAGAAATGAAAACCATCAAAACCCATACAGGTCCCATTAATATACTCTTCTAACTCTATTATTGGCAATACACCTCCCTCCTAAAACATGCACCCTCCATATTTGGACTCCCTAAATTCATTTAAGGGCAAGAAGTAATCACCCACCCTTCCTGTCCAGTAAGTAAATTCTCATATCTCCTCCCAACATGGATTCTTTCCATGCCAAGGTATCCTTTAGATATACCTGGAGGCCACTCTTTCATGAGTAGATGATGCATGGCGGGGGTGTGAGTCTGAATTGTTCTACTCCAGGAGTGGGGATACCTGCATGGTTCTTTCTTGCAGAATTGGTGTTCCCCACGCCCTCCTGGCAGGATGCCTGTTCAGTGGAAGACACCCTTAAGATGAATCTCATTCACACTGTTCAGAAGTAGCCACCAGCCACGCGAGCTCTGAAAACTGGTTTGTATGCAGCTACAAGAGGGCTAAAGGGGTACTTTCTTAGTGAGTAAAAAGGTAAAGGACCCCAGGATGGTTAAGTCCAGTCAAAGGCGACTATGGGGCTGTGGTGTCCATCTCAACACGGGTGGCGCTGTGGTCCAAACCACTGAGCCGCTTGGGCTTGTCGATCAGAAGGTCGGCGGTTTGAATCTGCTCTAGTTTCCGTCATGGTGTTCCATTGCACCAGAAGCAGTTAAGTCATACTGGCCACATGACCCGGAAAGCCGTCTGTGGACAAACGCCGGCTCCCTCAGCGAGATGAGCGCCATACCCCATAGTCACCTTTGACTGGACTTAACCATCCAGGAGTCCTTTATCTTTACCTTTTCTTAGTGAGTGTTTGGAAAATATTTGTATTCTGATCATTCTCTCCTTGCTCACTAGTTTAGGGCATGCATATTGATGGTGTCATGTGCACATAGATTGTTTTATTGCCTCCTGGAAGTTGTAGTTTGGCTTGGTGGTTTCTGATGGATTTGAAGAGGAATGTACAGAGCGGTCTGTAGTCACAGACAAAGCAGGTGAATGTTTTGAACGAGGCGGCTGTTAACTTATAGTTGATCTCTCTCTCTCTCTCTTTCTTACTGAGTAGCTATTAAATAATCCTATTTCATTCCATCATTAGGTGGGCTTGGTTTCTCACTGTAAATACAATGACTAAATACAATCCAAGTGATTTGACTTGCCATTGTGTTTGTCGTGATATGACGCTCTTTCTGAGATACTATATGCAAGTCATCAAATGACGGGGCATGGATATGGCAATTAGCCATCAGTTTGAATTTAACTTCATCTTTCACAGGCCAAACACTTGACAAAAATGAATGTATATTGGACAAGAGTTAAACCAACATTTCTATACAGAACAGCATATGCCACATCTTCCCCCAGCTCACTAGAAAGCCCAGATAATTTAGTAGGAGAAGAAATATGGATAAAACTTAACTGCAGTGCCAATAGCACCAGAGGTGATCTACATGCACGATGAAGAGTGTGCAACCTTTCCGATCTATTATTATCTTTCAGGGAGAGCAATGCAATACCGCCAGTTTCTAAAGGCACTCACCATTGTAGTATGAGGCCACTGCATTGTGAATACTTAAAATGCCCGTAGGGTCCAAGGAACCTAAATGAGATTCTAATGTTAATAAGTGCTGAGTGACCTTTACTGTTAACTATCTAATACATCTCAGGCAGACAACATGGAACCTCAGCTATGGGAGGGTCACATGGACAAGCTGCTAGCCCTTTCGGTGTAATGAAAAGTCTCCCCTAAAATACAAAATGAAATGGGTTTTTAAAGTGACAGTTGCTGTGTCTTCGTGGTCACCTTTAAATCCTCGTGAGATATGTGCCACCTCAAATTAGAAGCTATAGGTGGAGTCAAAACCTCAAGGTGCTGCAATGTAATTAAGCTGCATGAAATATGCAAAAGGCCCTATTTATAGATTGTAATAAATGGCCTGATCCAAAGCTGTTAAGTTCTATGGCTGAGATGAAAATCCGAAATGTGGGATTCATGATCAAATTCAAATGTTCCCCAGATATTCTCTGCATATTCACAGAATATTCATTCAATATTGGATACTGGCATTTGACACCCAACTATATTTGATTTCAATATTTGGTGGTTGATGGCATGCAATGGTATAAAGTACTTTGCCATGACGGTACATGGCAATGGGTGTGCAAAACTGGTTTTTATTTATATGAAGATGTATGTCACACACTTCTAGAGCTTACACACCATTAAAAATAATTTTAAAAATTATTCCACAAATAATATAATAATAATATAACAAAAGCAAAATAATCTTTGTTTTAATTATTATTTATTGCATTTCACTCACACATTTTTCTCCAAGGAGCTCAAGTGGACATACACCGTTCTTTGTCTCCTCATTTAATTCCCAACAACAGCACTGTTAAGTAGGTTAGGCTGAGAGGCAGTGAGCATCATAGCCGAGTGGGAATTTGAACCCTGGTCTCCCAGGGTCTAGTCTGGCACACTAACCACTGAACAACACTGTCTTTAATAAAAACAGTCATAGGTGCAGTAGATAAAGCAAAGGCATTGGACAAAACATTGGCACTGGTAAAGCCTCCCTAAGCAGAAACATCTGCTGTGATGGGATAAAGAGTGCCAATATTTAGACGGGATCACAGAGAAGACCCTTACCTTTGTCCCATCCGCCAAACCTCCAGCATTGTCAGGGCATAGACGATAGTCTGATAAGGGAGAAGAGATTGTTTTGATCAAAGGTGATAGAAGCTCTCTCTCTCTGATCTAAGTGGTCCATCATTTAAGAGGTTGCCAATTCTTCCTTAATGATACTGATCTTTCGTTATAAAGGAGATACCCAGTTCACACAGATAGCCTCTTATTTAAAAAAAGGGATTATTGCACTGGGAAGGTGGTTTTGGAAGCAATGGTCAGGGTATTTATCTATTTGACGGATCACCACAGCATGCAAATAGCAGGTGATCTAAGGGACATTTGGTCCACCTCAGAATACAGAATCTATTTGCAGCATGCAATCGTGTTAAACGTTTCATTGGAGCGGCTAGGTGGTGAACATTGTTAGATTTGAGAGCTGACAGCCTGCAAGTTAATATTTAATAGTTAACATTTGTCAGCTGAGAGCTTTTGAGTTTTCGTTTTTGGACTCTCCCCAAATCAAAATATTCAAGAGGTGTCCATGTGCCCCAAATACTAAATTTTAAAAGAAAAAATTACCTTTCAAAATTCAACTCTGAATTTTATGTGGAAAATTTCAATGGGGAAATATTAATATTGTTAATATATGTTAATATTTGCTTCTTCCATTCCCCCCTCCCACTGCAGTGTAATCCAATGTGTGCAGAAATACAAATGTGCACAAGATTCAGAAAAAGAAAGGCAAACGAAGTAAGCTGAAGCTGCAGAAATCAGAAGGGGAATCCTGTGGGATCCTAATGTACTTTGCTAACAGGATTCAAGGATTCAAGCCACGCAGGTAGAACTTCCTAGGAGGATTCAGTTTTCCAAATGTTTTCGGGGTTGTTGGGTTTTTTTCCATACTGCAATCCTAGACATGTCCATTTAGAATTAAGCCCCACTAAGTTCAATTGGATTTCTTCCCAGGTAAGTGAATACAGGCTTGTCGCCTGGATCAATTAGGATGTGTAATCAGTTTGTTGGCGCTTTGTGGCGGAACTTTAGGTCAAACATACAGAGGGATTCTCCAAGCGTATCAAGGATCCAAGCTTTCTCAAAAACTAATGATCGAAAGTGACAGGAGACAAAACAGTCGGGATCCCCTGCAGGGAGCCTGTGAAGTGGGAAGGTTATTTGGAAACCGGTAAGACGATATCAAGAACAAGGACATGAAAAAAATAAGAGAGGTGTCCATGCTGATTAGGAGAGATGCTTTCATCCGAAGCTGCCATACCTTGACTTCAAGCCGCACACTAAAATGCATTTGACTGAACGGAATCACTAATCAGCCAAAACATTTCCTTCACTTTTCTTGGGAAATGGAAAGAGCCTCAGACTGGCCTTTATTTATCTCTTTGAGTGGGGGCAGCAGGCAATGCTTTCTGTGGAGGCCAAATCTCCTGCCCTTGTGGATCCTGCCACCCAAGGCAGTCACTTCCCCTTGCCTCATGGGTGAGCCGGCCATGGCTCATGTTGAGGGCAGGTACTGTATGTGGTGGAGGGGAGGGACTCATATCACACCAAGACCACATTATAACCTTCTCTGAATGTTGTCAAACGCTTTCCATTTTCTAGATGGGAACACTGCTGCAGAAAGATAGTAACTCACCCAGGGTCACACATGGTGAATGTTATTAAACAAGAATTTAAGACTATCTTCAACATTTCTGCAGGGTGTGGATCACACACGCCATCAATGTATCACACCCCCCCTTTTGTGTTACAGCCAGTGCATTTTTTCTTTAAAAAATGTTTAGGGGTACTCTCATTTTGACTCAAGAAAATCACCATTTTATAGTTCAAATCGGGGAAAAGAAATACAGTAAATGGACAAAAGTACAGAGATTCACAAAATGTTTAGGGGTATGCATACCCCCAGAAAAAAAGCACTGGTTATACCTACATCCAATTCTAAATAGATTAGTGACAGGTCAATGAGATCCAGTCTCTGATCTTGTTCATTTTGGACTGTGTCTCCATCACTTGCAAGCATGCATTTTGGATGAGGAACAGGACCGCAGGGAAGCCGTTCTTAGGCTTCAAAGGTAACATTTGAGTCAGCTAGGTGCCTTCAGGTGTTCTCAAAACGCTTAAGAAAAGCAACGGGAGCTCTGTTCCAAAACAGTTGTTACAATTAGGATGACTTCTCTGGAGCGGGGAGCGTTTCTGCAGTTGCCATTTTGGACCCTCCTCAGGATGCAGAGAGGAGAGAGAAAATCTTTAAGCAGATGCTAATTGCATTACACAAAATCCAAGCGCAATTACTTCAGCATAATCAGTTCAGTTCAAACTGTGTCAGGCCCACCTGCCTTGGTTCCTTAAGGAACTAATGATAGGGGGCATCAAAGACAGGAGATGGGAGAAATAAAGCTCTCTCTCTTTTTCCTACAGATTCATGTATTTGCCAAAGGCTTTCATCCAAAATACCCTCAGCAAAAATATCCAGCTCAGGCTCCATATTTCTGTTCACTTGCTATCCAATTAAAGTCTCCCATGCTTGCCCTCCTATAGTGCATTTATTTCAGAGTCACTGCCTGTTTTGCTTTTAACCCTCTGATAATCTGTTTATCACCAGAGAGGAAGAGAATGTATTCTTAAAAGAAGCACTAAAAGGTCACAAGGCCAATTATAATGCTGGAAGGTATTTTGATTGAACAAGAAATAAAGGATTGGTACTTAGCAGAGATGAAAGAGACAATTTGCTTCTAAAATTCTTCTCCTTTGCAGATGTTCAGGTCAAATACTCTCCAGTGATACCCTTCAGGTTGCAAAGGGAAAGCTTTAAAAACCACCGGTACCTCGTATTTGACAGCATTTGAGAGTTGGCATGCAACCGGCAGTTTACAGGACTAGTTATCCAGGTTTACTACGTACAACGAATGCAACAAAGATTTGGAAGCAGGCAGACTCCGCACCCTCATTTGAGAGATAAAGAAGGGATGCCTAGAGCATCACTTAAGAGTATCGATAGTCTAGGCCTAAATTTCTAGCCTGTAACTGAGGTTGCAAAGCTGCTACGGCTAAGCAATTGCTCTTCAAGGTGACCTGTAATTTACAAACAGCAAAATCAGTTGCTTTCTGCAGTGGGAAATATATTGAGAGTAACCTTACCCTTTCTATAAAACCATAATGGATTTTGTAAAATAATAATAATAATAATAAAGACAAATCAGGACGTAAGCAACTGAGTAATTCTAGGAACAAACGTCACACACACCTGCTTTCACTTCAGAATGTTGCTATCCTGATGGGTATGTGTGTACATTTATGATAATGATGGTTAATTAAAGGCCCATCGTGCTGAAAAAGCAGGGTTGGAGAGCTGGCAGAAGACATGTAGGTGTCTGAAGAAGAAAATCCAAGAAGTGCCCCAATGAAAAAATGTAACGATAAACCAAATAATTGACCATTACAGTAGTCGCCTTTAATGGTACCCCAAACTGCAAGCCACCCTGGGCCAACCCAGGGACTGTTCACCATGCCCTGAATCAATTCCTGAATTAGTGGACAAAGAATGGGGAACAGGAAGGGTGGATAATCTGAGACTGTCCCTGAACTCCACCCCTCTGCTTTCCCCTCACTCCCATCATCATGGAGGCCATTTTGTCAGGCAAAGGGGGTGGGGTGGGGTAGGAGGGAGATTCGTGTTGTTGCCTCCGGTTTCTAATTCCTTTCCTTTCTTCTGTTCTCCTGAGCAACCACCACACTCTGCAGAGGAGGAAATAAAGGGCTTTCTGTGGCCAACTCAAAAGCTGCCTTTAGGGTGTAGAGGAAAGGAGGCAATTCTACGCCTTTCTGCTTCTTCTGAACCGGAAATGTGGAACCCGAAGCCCTCCAGATACTGTTGAACTTTGTTTCCCATCAGCCCTGGCAAGTACGGCAAATGGACAGGGATCATGGGAGTTGGAGTTCAGCAACCTCTGGGGGCAGAAACGCCAACTTGCGCAGAAGAGTGGGATGCTAATGACATGTGCATGGTGCCAGGATACCGGGAGGAGCCAAATGCGGTGGTAGCATGACTTCAATGGCTGGCAGCTCCTCTCTGGGGCTTAGCGTCATCCCACTTTATAAATACATCTGGAGATGTCAGTTACAGTAATTTTGACATTATCGTCCTATACAGACAAATGGGCCCTACAAAAATATCTCAGGTTTCGGAGGGAGACTTAAAATTTACAGCATGCTGCATGCTGAAGGAAAATTATATGAAAATGATGTATTGTTGAGATTTAACACCTACATAATTAGCAAAAATGTATAGAACTGCTTTAAATGTATGTTGGAAGTGTAAGGAGAAGGAAGGCACTTTCTACCATATGTGGTGGATGTGCAAAATAAAAAAAGCATTCTGGGAAATGATATATAATGAATTGAAAAAAATGTTTAAAATAACATTTGTGGAAAAAAACCAGAATTCTGGATGCAGAAAAACCAAAGGAGCAGAAAAGATTATTCATGTATGTGACAACAGCAGCATGGATACTAGTGGCCCAGAGATGGAAATAAGATAAACTCCCAACCAGAGACGAATTCCTGTCTCATTACATATGCTAATCATCTGCATACTATTCCTTGCTTTTTCCTGTAGGACTAATTGCAGTCGTTAACAGTCATCAACAGCTTTACCATACCCATTGAGTCAATCACCCATCTCCTACTACCCTCCTGAGAAACCCCCACCATCCCACTATATATATATAAGGGTCTTGTGACTTCTGTTTCAGTGTATCTGAAGAAGTGTGCATGCACACAAAAGCTTATACCCAGAACAAACTTAGTTGGTCCCTAAGGTGCTACTGGACAATTTTATATATATATATTGGTTGATAAGGATGATGGACAAAGCTGAAATGGTGAAAATGACCAGAAAAATCAGAAACCAAGAAGGTAGACATTTTCATAAGGAATGGGGGGGGGGGGGATTATAAGTTATTTAAGAGAAGACTGTAAACAACTAAAAACTTTGGCAGGATTATAGTAACACTTCTAATGTATTAAAAACTAAGGTAAATATGGATTTTTAAAAGAAAAATAGAGAAATTATATGATGCAGTATAAAAAGATTGACAATGGAACCCATGGAGGGGTGGAGGGAAGTCTAAGTATTTGGGGATCCTATATGTTTATGTTTATGATTGTTGTTTGAATTCAAATGTATATTGTAAAACTGAATAAAAATATATATAATAAAAAAAAGTTTTGGAGGGAGGAGCAGACAGGTGTGTACTGGGGGAAGTTGATTCATAACATTGGGATAAACATGGAGAAAACCCTACTCTTTGCTGCAGATGTTCTAAGGTACTGAACTGAGGGACATTAGGGTAGGTTCAGATGAGGAGAGACACTTTCTGAAGATGAAAGAATACTGGATTCAGTCTGATCCAGGAGGGCTTTCTGATATTGATAGGCTGCTTCCACAAATTGCAACGTCATGCAAACCTCACCACGGTAAACAGTTAATTTTTGTTCGTTGTCTTCTCACTCCCTCTTCTCCTTTTCACACACACACACACACACACTTTTTGTCTGTACCTACCTAACGGTATCTTAACACCAGACTCGTCAGAAAAGCCGATTAGGATAAGGGATCGTAAATCATGAACAACCTGGCTGAATTAGCTCTTCCCAGAAGGCTTGTAAAAGATAGGATTTTTATCCACTCCTCACTGAAGCAACCTTAGCAAGCACTGTGCGCATTATAAATCAGCTCTCAAGCATGCATAATAACAGAATAGCAATTATCACTAGGAAAACAGGAAATGCAGCTCTTCGTTCCCTGCCAGCTCCCTATGAGAACAGTGACACCAATCAATAATTGAATGTGCCTGCCTATCTGTGGCAAACATAATCTTGGCAGGAGCCCAAGGTCATGCTGGGTCAAAATTGTGAGATTTATTGTCTATCTACATATCTGTCTATCTATCATCTATCTATCTATCTATCTATCTATCTATCTATCTATCTATCATCTATCTATCTATCAGCAGTGCTGACTTGAGCCCCAGACTGAAGAGGGTAAAAGGAATTCATAGATGGAGAACGCAAGAATAGGCCTCACTCCTGATTCACTAATCTGTTTGCTGCAGGCCAAATTTAGGACTTACCTAAATGATGGGGAGCCTTGCTCCCGGACCTCCGTATTTGTGTCTTCTTTATTTGACCATAGGGTATGCTATGGGTCTTCACCTCTGCCCTGTCAGTCGCATTCGTTCTCTCCACTTTAAAAGTTTAAAGAGTGTTACTTTTTATGGTTTGGACTTGACATGTAACCCACCTGTCAAAAATATTGCTCAAATGCACCTTCCAGGCATTTTAAAAAAGACTGATTTATGCCTAAACCCTTGATCATGTTACGTTTTTATTCTACACTAGGAGGAACATAGGAAGTGACCTTAAAGCAAGGCAGATCATTTCTCCATCTAGTTCAATTCTGGTTGTTGTTTTTTTCTGACTGGCAACAGCTCTTCAGGGTTTCAGGCAGGGGTTTCCCTAGCCTTAACATGAAAAGCATGCCCACAAGGGAACAGAGTGAATATCTAATTCTGATTTTAATGCAAACCTGGCAAATAGAAGGGGAAGAAATGGAGGCAGTGAGAGATTTTACTTTCTTGGGCTCCACGATCACTGCAGATGGTGACAGCAGTCACGAAATTAAAAGATGCCTGCTTCTTGGGAGAAAGGCGATGACAAACCTAGACAGCATCTTAAAAAGCAGAGACATCACCTTGCCAACAAAGGTCCGTATAGTTAAAGCCATGGTTTTCCCAGTAGTGATGTATGGAAGTGAGAGCTGGAGCATAAAGAAGGCTGATCGCTGAAGAATTGATGCTTTTGAATTATGGTGCTGGAGGAGACTCTTGAGAGTCCCAAGGACTGCAAGAAGATCAAACCTCTCCATTCTGAAGGAAATCAGCCCTGAGTGCTCACTGGAAGGATGGCTCCTGAAGCTGAGGCTCCAATACGTTGACCACCTCATGAGAAGAGAAGACTCCCTGGGAAAGACCCTGATGTTGGGAAAGATGGAGGGCACAAGGAGAAGGGGACGACAGAGGGCAAGACGGTTGGATAGTGTTCTCGAAGCTACCAGCATGAGTTTGACCAAACTGCGGGAGGCAGTGGAAGACAGAAGTGCCTGGCGTGCTCTGATCTATGGGGTCATGAAGAGTCGGACATGACTAAACGACTAAATAACAACAACAACAACAACAACATCTGATTGTTAATTCCTGAAAGAACGTGCAAACTAAAATGCAGGCATCTTTTGGAATTTGCATTCCTCTGCATTTTGTGGTGCACTTTTCCAACCAAAACAATGTGTACCTCATGTGTATACATGAGGAAAGTGTACAACAAGTGGCTTGCATACATGAAAATAACAGAAATCTTGCTGTAAGTTTGCTTTGGGACAGATTTCTCCATGTGAAAAGTGGAAGGAAGTAAGTAAGAAAGAAAGAAAATTGGAAAAGAAGCAAGCAAAAATTGTAT